TGCTTTATACCAATGACTTTGCTAAACACTTAACATGCGTCATTCTCATTTAATTTCTGCAACTACTCTATAGTTGTTGTACTCTATTATCATTCCCCTTTCTCAGATTAGGAAACTGAAGCTTGGGGTGGTCAGGTAGTTTCCCAGAGGTTGCACAGCTAGTGAGTGAGCCACTTACTTGTTGTTATACAGTGTGTCATATCCCTGAGATGTGTTGGAGTAAAAAAAATCTGAGAACAACTTTTCTAGAAGAGTGTTTTTTTTAATGTGGGTTGCAGCCAGTATTTAAAAAAAAAGTAACAATAGAAATTATTAGAGTACATCGTATATACCTTAAGGGTAAGTATTCTTTTACAAAATTTTGTTGGTAATATTTGATACATGTTTCTACATATTGGATTATGTCAGCCTTTGGGGTGGTGGTGCTGTACAATAAGCCCCAAATCTCAGTTGCTTACAATTTATTTTTCTCGCTCATGGATCTGCAGGTTGGTGAGGTTTGGCTGACCTTGGCTGGACCTAGCCCAGTTGGGCTGGGCTTGGCTCTGGGCTGAAGGTCTGGTGTGGGTCTCCTCTGCTGGCCCTAGAGCAGGCTATCCTGCAGTGACTGGAGCACAAGGGGTCAAGCCAGATCATGCATGCACCTATATCCATGAGTCTGTTAGTGTTTCATCAGCCAAAGCAAGTCACGTGTCAAAACCCAACATCAATCCCAGTAAGAGGTACTGCAAAGTCACGTGGCAAAGGATGTTGGATATCTAATTCCACCACAGGGTGTGAAGAATTGGGAGCAACGATCTAACTCACCACAGGTTATGATGTAAAAATGATTTCTTACTGTGGGTTGCACTCCAAAGAACTAGGAAGGTACTACTCTAGAAGGTCAATCACAAACTCCTGGTATCCCTTGACCGCTCGGCTGTGGCTACACTGCTGGCTACGTCTGCCTCTTCAAACTCTCCTCTCTTGACTTTGATGATGGTACTTTAGCTCCACCTTCTCTGACCAGCCTTCTCCAGCTCTGGCTGAGGCTTCCTTCTGTCTGCCCCAGAGCTAGCTGTTCTGGATTCTGTCCTTGGCTTTGCTCTCTTCATGTGCTTACCCTTAGGAATCTCCTCTCACGTCACATGGCTTTAATCAGCCCTTCAGGGCGGACAGTTCTCAGAGCATTAGCTCCAATTCTAGCTTCTGCCTCAAGCTGCAGACACACGCTGTCCATTTCCTACAGGACGTTTCCCACTGCCTGCTTCCCTGGGCCCTAACTGAACTTCTCTCTCTCACAAACCTGCTTCTTCAGCCAAGTTCTCTTTTTCCATCAATGGTACCAATGTTTGGAGAATAGTCACCCTTACTCAGTCCATTGTGAGCCCTCCTCTATATGGACCCCCTTCTCTGTCCAAGATCCATTTATTCTACCTCTACCCGGTTTTCTTTCTTCACTTAATTGTAAGAGAAAAAAAATTATTAAAAAATAATACTTGTCATGGAAGAAGGCAAATGGTACAGACTTGTATAAAGCAAAAAACACTCCTCTCTCTCCAACCCTGCTCTCCAGTGGTGAGTACCAGTAGTCTCTGGAGTGTGGCTTTCCAGACTTTTCCTGGGCACACTGAGTCACAACCTCTTTTCCATTCAATTCTCTCTAATGCTGCAATCACAACTGAGACTTGTTCTCCGTGAAGAGCCCTTGCATAAAGGTTAATTCCAAATGCAAACACTTTCAGAGTGGTAATTTTTTTCTTCTTCTGGTGATAGTAATTGTTTAAAATACTTATTTAGAGAGAAAGAGCATGAGCAGGGGAGGGGCAGAGAAAGAGAATCCCAAGCAGGCTCTGCACTGACAGCAGTGATGTGGGGCTCAATCGCATGATTTGTGAGATCATGACCTGAGCCGAAATCAAGAGTTGGACACATGAGGTGCCTGGAATCAAGAGTTGGACACATGAGGTGCCTGGGTGGGTCAGTCGGTTGAGTGTTCAACTTTGGCTCAGGTCATGATCTCATGGTCTGTGGGTTCCAGCCCCACATTGGGCTCTGTGCTGACAGCTCAGAGCCTGGAGCCTGCTTCAGATTCTGTGTCTCCCTCTCTGCCCCTCCACCACTCTCTCTCTCTCTCTCTCTCTCTCTCAAAAATAAACATTAAAAAAAATTAAGAGTCAGGCACTTAATCAACTGAGACACCTGGGCACCTCTGGTGATAATAATTTTTAAAAGATATCCTTAATTTTTGTTCTGATATTTGGGTGATAAAAATCAGGAGAACGAAATAAAGGTCAATGTGGGAATGGTGTGGTATGTGGGGCATCTGGCTGGAATTCTGATGCCCCTCTGGAGGTCCTTCATGGTCAGGGGTAGACATGAGCGCCCATATTCCAAGGGGTTACTGTGATACAGGCCTTATCAGAGAAGCACCTAACTCACATTCCAGAGAGGCCAGGCGGGGCACTTATCTGAGCTCAGTGAGCTGTGTGGAGTCTATAGTGAGCCTGACAGCAGAAGCCTCTGCTGTGGCCACCACTCAATTCAGCTCCAGACTATAGTGCTCTTGTGGGTGCATAGACTAGGAGTTGCTAAAAATTCTAATTGAGAGAATCCAGATTTTTATGTAAAATGAAGCCATCCCAATCAGGCAAAGGAGCTGGGGCACTAATGCTGGTGTGCAATGGCCCAGGGATTGGGTGAAGTGGGAGAGGTCAATCTATTTGAAGGGAAGCTAAGAACTGTGCTCATTCCACACCATACCCCATGGATGTGGCAGACAGTAGTTGTCCTCTGGAGTGCCACTGCTAAGGGTTATCAACCATGTGTGTGTCTAAACTAGGGGTCTCAAACACAAAAGTCTTTAGAAGTCAGGCAAGAATGAAAGCCCAGGGCTGTGGTTCTATGATTGTACTGCTCAGGCAAATCACAGGCCCAAGCACCGTTAGTGGCCCCTAAAGCTCTTCTGGAACCTATTTATGTATTTGACCTGTTCTTCCTCTTGAGCTAACACATTCCATATGTTAAACTACCTGTTATGTAGAGTAAATTAGGAGGGAAAAAAAACCTCTTTGAAACTATTGGGAAATGGGGAAGAGTAGGAGCTCTTAATTCCTTCCTGTAGTTAGGGGTTTGATGAGTGTGTGTATACGCACACACAATTAGGTCTCACAAATCACTTGAACATACTTTGTTTCAGTATTCTCAGTCTTTGGACTGTGACTCACAGTAAGAAATGCAATTGACATCATCACCGAGTACACACACATATTGAGCCATATGAAATCGACAATATGCTACCCTCTTGATCTATAAAATGGCAATTTTACATGGTTCAACCTAACAATAATGCAAACAAAAGTTTCATGCAAAAATATTTGCCCTTGCTTTTTGTGGTACTCATTTATTATTTTAAATGCTGGTTGCAGTACACTAAATTCATTTCATTACCACTACCACTAATGGGTCAAACAAAACCAACCACTTTATTTAGTCTTCACAAAAATTTTTAAGGAAAGGAAATATCACTCTCCCATCCCCTTCAAAACAACCCGATGTTTATTCCAGGGAGGAATCGATTACCCCAGGAGCTCCTATTAACTGACCACTTACTCTATGCTTTAGCCTTTATCTCATGTAATTTGCATTAAGAACCTCAGCGGATGGGTACCAACAATGAGGAATATGATGGAGTTTGCAGAGGTCGAACCCTTATTTCCAGGCGCAGGCTAGAAAGGGGCTGATTCCAGATTTGAGTAATTTCTGTAACTGCAAAGCCCAAGCAAGGTATTTTCACGGCCTTGGAGCTGAGATCCAGACCCAAACCCTGAACCTGGGCTTTGCAGCGCTGCAGTTCTAACCGCCCACCCCTTCATGGGCTTTCCATAGAAGGGGTAAGGGTGTGTGTGTGTGTGTGTGTGTGTGTGTGTGTGTGTGTGTGCGCGCGCGCGTGTGTGCGTTTGTGTGCGCGGGCGCGTGTGTGTGCGCGAGCGCATGCTGGCTGGCTGGCTGGCTTATTTGCTGAAACTTTCTGTCTGGCTCTACTTTTTCCCAGGCCTTTGCACTGGCGGTAGGGTGGGCTTTATCCCCGGGACAACCCCCTCCCCCAGCCCAGCCCGCAGCTGGAAGTCTTCACTGATCTTCATCTCGTCTCCCTGCCCCCTTCGGGGACTGGGAGGCCAACTGTCTCCCCCCGGTCTTTTCCAGATGTATGTCTGCCAAAGATCCCTCCAGTATAGAGGATGATGAATGAGGACCGGGGAGCCGGCCTGGTGGGAAAGTGTCGTTGCCTGGAAAAGAGAGGGAAAGGGAAAGGAAGTCGGGGGGAGGGGAAGGGTTGGAGCGGCGGGGAAGCGACAAGTCTGGACGCCAGGGACCCAAGCCTCCTCGGCTCAGCCAGTAAATTTTGCCTCCCTTAGGAAGGCGTGGGGAAGTGCTCCTATCCCTGCACTCCCTTGGAATTTGGGCTGCATTATATCATTTACTGCAACACGCACAATCCACTCAGGAACTACCCCAGTGTTTGCTTCCAGCCCTTCTAATGCCGGGTTGCTAGTGCTGCTCGCATTTCTCCGCGGGACTGAACTCCGGTCCACTCCCAGGCTTCCCCTCAGCAGGTTCCTCCCAATTCTCTCCACCATTCTCCGGTCAGGGGGGCGGAGTCGTACCTCCTCTCCTGTTCCTTTAAGAGGCGTCGGCTCCTCCCCTTTCGGAGTCGCCGTCTGACGCGGGATGACAGCAGCGAGTTCGGTATGTCTATGCAAATAAGCGCTCCCTGTGGGCCAATGGGGAGCGGAGGTGCCGGAACCACGGACCAATGCGGCGGGGGCGCAGGGGCTCACCATATAAGGAGCGGCCTCGCCATAAAAGGAAACATTGTATCTCTTTATATGGGGGGAAGGGTCGGGGGATCCCTCCGCCGCCAGCGCGTGGTCCCGGCCCCCTCCACCCGCCGTCTCGGCCGCGGCCAGCAGCCCCTGCCCCCCGGGGGACGCTGACGGCCGCCGGGCGCGCCGCCCTAGCATACGGACAGGGGGCGCTCCGAGCGGCCTGGGGCAACCCGGGCCACAGGGGCAGGAAAGTGAGGGCCCAGGTCGGCCCGGGCGTGCAGGGGCCCCGGGTTCGCAGCGGCGGCGGCGGCGGCAGCGATAGAGGCTCTAGCAGCAGCGGGAGTGCCGGGTTGAGCCGGGAAGCCGATGGCGGCGGCGGCGGCGGCTCCGATTCCTCGCTGACTGCCCGTCCGCCCTCCTGCATTGAGCGCCATGTTACCGAGCCAAGCTGGGGCCGCGGCGGCGCTGGGCCGGGGCTCGGCCCTGGGGGGCAGCCTGAACCGGACCCCGACGGGGCGGCCGGGAGGTGGCGGCGGCGGCGGCGGCGGCGGCGGCGGCGGGACTCGCGGGGCTAACGGGGGCCGGGTTCCCGGGAACGGCGCGGGGCTCGGGCCGGGCCGCCTCGAGAGGGAGGCTGCAGCAGCAGCGACAACCACCCCGGCGCCCACCGCGGGGGCCCTCTACAGCGGCAGCGAGGGCGACTCGGAGTCGGGTGAGGAGGAGGAGCTGGGCGCGGAGCGGCGCGGCCTGAAGCGGAGCCTGAGCGAGATGGAGCTCGGCGTGGTGGTCGGTGGGCCCGAGGCGGCGGCGGCGGCCACCGGGGGCTATGGGCCGGTGAGCGGCGCGGTGAGCGGGGCCAAGCCGGGTAAGAAGACTCGGGGCCGCGTGAAGATCAAGATGGAGTTCATCGACAACAAACTGCGGCGCTACACGACCTTCAGCAAGAGGAAGACGGGCATCATGAAGAAGGTACCGGGCCGGGAGGCTGGCCGGCCACAGGGGACACGGAGGGTGGGGACGCGCAGGGGGAGCCCGGGAGGAAGGCAGAGCCGAGGCGGAGGTGAGAGGCGGCGAGTCTGCAGGAGCTGTGTGGGAGGGTATAGCTGTTACCCCAGGAGGGCGAGAGGGGAGGGGCGCTAAGGAAATGTGGGGAGAGGGGGAGATGCCGCGAACGTCCAGAGAAGAGGGGAAAGGCGCCGAGGTGGGAGTGACGGGCGCGAGAGAGGAACGGGGCCCTTGCGGAGTGAAGGGGTGAAGAGTGGTTGTGGGAAGCTTGGAGGCTGCTTGGAAGGTGGTTAATGAGACGCGGGGGTCACTAGATCCAATGCCTTCTAGTGTTCGGGGGAGGGTGCTGGAAAAGCAGGGGGCCAAGGGAAGGTATGGAGGTGAAGAGGCTGAAGCTCTGTAACAACAATGAGCCAGCATGTGTGGGAAGAAGGTGGGCACCACAAGAGTAGTGCTGGCTGGAAGGACTGACAGGTATGATGACCCAATGGGGCTTAAGAGCCCCAGGTAAGGGAGCAAAGCAGGAGACCTGATGCTGCCCTGAGCAGCAGGGACTGAGTCGAGCGATGGCCATGTGTCTTCCTTTGCATCCACTGGAAACCTGCACACTCCCTGCAGGACAGACTTCAGAACCATCTGCCTTTGGGACAAGTGGTGTTTCCAGCCCTAGGGAGAATCTGTGCATGGAGTTTGGGGGAAGGCAGGGAGGTTTGCAGAGGTACCTAGAAATTCTTCCTCTTCCAGCCAGCAATCCAGTCAATAGGGATGAGGAAAGGAACCGTCTTGAGGTGTACAAGATATGGGAAGGGATGGAAGCAGGTGAACTGGGAAACAAGCTAGAACCCTGGGGACATTGGATAGTGTTTATTTCTGTCCCCTATAGAAACCAGAGCTGCTTCCAAGGTGGGTTGTGGAACTTTTGGGAGAGTAAGGGTACCATTCATGGGGCCACCCTTGGTTTCCTTCCTGGGCTCATGGAAGGGTGGTAGCTGCTAATCTAGCCCCCGTCTCCTCTCGCATCATTCCAGATGCTACTGCATCAAGACAAAGAAAGAAAAAAGGGGGTAGCACAGTATTATAGGGCAGAAGGACAAATGGCAACAGGTTAGGGCTTGTGTGGTTTCTGGGAAGAAACATGGGACAGCTTAGAACTTACTTGGCGTGGCCCCTTATCCCTAATGCGACTTACAGTGTGATAGCAACTTCAGTTTGGTTCCTGTGACAGTGAAGAGTGGGTGAGAGCCCTCTCTCCATGAGGCTCTTGGCACTAAGCTGTAGTCAGGAGCAGCTACCTGACCCCTGCCACCCCAAGTCCCCTGAGGTTATATATTCTGTCACTAGGGGGCTGTGACTGTGCCTGAGGTATCTGCAGGTCAGTGGCTGCTCCTCAAAGGAGGAGCATGGTAGTTCTTCTGCTCTCCAGCTCACTTCCAGATATCTTGATAGACCCTTTCCCTGCCCCAGTCGTTGGAGAGGAAGGTCCCTGGGGGCCGGAGGGGGGCAGACAGGGGGTTGAGATCACTGTGTATTTTTTTTCTTCCCTACTTCCCAAGGAAGGTAGAGAGACATAGTTTGGCTGACCTACCCATCTCCTCCCCCCTACCCCCAGGCCTATGAGCTGTCCACGCTGACAGGGACACAGGTGCTGTTGCTGGTGGCCAGTGAAACAGGCCATGTGTATACCTTTGCCACCCGCAAACTGCAGCCAATGATCACCAGTGAGACTGGCAAGGCACTGATTCAGACCTGCCTCAACTCGCCAGACTCTCCACCCCGTTCAGACCCCACCACAGACCAGAGAATGAGTGCCACGGGCTTTGAAGAGACAGACCTCACCTACCAGGTGTCGGAGTCCGACAGCAGTGGGGAGACCAAGGTGTGTTTGGGTCGCCTGAGGGGAAGGAAGGGGAGGGACTTCACCGGCAGAGAGGGGAGGGGGTCCCCGTCTCTCCCTCACTCAGGATAGGTGCCCACCGAGGTGGGATGGAGCCGGGTTAGTGCCCCTCATCCTAGGGGACAGGTGTCCATCCTCGCCATCCTGACAGGAGGCCGGCCCCCTAGATAAGCGGGCGGCCTCCGTGCCCTTATAAGGCCGGCTCCGGCTCCAGGCCGGCCTCCCGCCTGCAGCCCGCCCGCCTGGCAGGGCCCTTGCATTCCTCCCGCCAGCTGTCTCCCTGCTGGGGGCGGGGGCGTAGCTTAGCCCTGCCCTCGCAGCAGGCTGAGTTGCCAGGGAGTAGGAAGGAAGCACTCGTGGGCTCCAGGGTCCTGGGAACCCAGCACTGTCGACAGGCGGGCTCGTTGACTGGGCTGGAGACTACCTTACTAGCCAGCCGCCTACCTCTTCAGGATGTCCGGGCCCGGGCACGTTTAGGGAGTGTATTCGCTGCTGCTAGGGATGCTGGCCCTAGTTACGCCTCCCCCTTCCTCTTCCCGGTAAGGAGAGGGGGCGGGGCTTCCTCCATTGCTCCTCTGGGGAGCCCCACCTTACGGGTGGCCCTTCACTAACTGGCCAATCGGAGGAAGCGGCACTGTTTGCCTTAGCAACGCCTTCGCCAATCAGAGGCTTCGAGCTCAGCTGCCTAGCAAACATCCCGCACTGACCCACCCCCAGTGTTTGAACCCCCTCAGTTCTCTGGGCTTGGTTCTCAGTTTGTGGCTTCCTCCTTCCCCTTCTAAGAACAAAGGCTCGCTGAGGGGAGGGTCAGTGCTCCGGGATACCCCCTCTTACTGGCATATCATCTGTAATTGCAAACTCTTGAAGCAGTAGGGCTCATTTATTCCCAGGGAACTTTGTTGGAGGAATAAATTCCTTTGGTAGTTTAATAGGAGCGCCTATTTAATAGGGGCTCAGTCGGTTGAGCATCGGACTCTTAATTTCAGCCCAGGTCACGATCTCCTGGTTAGTGAGATAAAGCTCTGCCTCAGGCTTCAGGCTGACAACCTGCTTGGGATTCTCTCTCTCTGCCCTTCCCCCATGTGCACACGTGCTCTCTCAAAATAAATTAAAAAAAACATAAAAATAATAATAAATTATGTATTTAAAAAATTCCATTGATAGTTTAAATCGTTAAGTATTTGGCATGAGTGCTTAATTGCCAAACACCCAAGATCTCTCTGAAACCCTAAATTCCCTGAAAAACTCTTGTCCCTATCTCAGAAGCCTGGCAAATCAGAGCTGGAAAGATTTTTTAAATGACATAGTAGCCCAGCCCCCTCATGTTTACAGAAGAGGAGAACTGAGGCTCGGAAAGAGGAAGTGATTTCCCCAGGGTCACATAGATGATCACTGCCAGAGCCGGGAATAGACCCCTGTGTCCTAGTCCCCCAGCCGATGTGATTTACCACAGTCCACTGGGGCAGAGAATTCAGGGAATTGGGATGGTGTCATCAGCAGAGCAGCAAATACTTACTGCTCTTTTTAGGTGTCAGGAACTTTATGTGTGTTAACCTATTCATCTTCACAACACCTATGGGGGTAGGTCTTCTCCTTTTACAGATAGGAAACTGAAGTTCAGCAGCTCAGTAACTTGCCCAGGGGCCACATAGCAGGTAAATGGCAGAGCTGGGGTTTGAACCCAAGTTCACTGGTTCCAGTCTGGGTTGTGTCACGCCACACAAAGCCTCTGCAGGGGCAGGGTCCGGTAGAAGCTCACTGCTGCATCTTTCCTCTGGGTGTAGGACACACCGAAACCCGCGTTCACAGTCACCAACCTGCCGGGTACCACCTCCACCATCCAAACAGCACCCAGCACCTCTACCACCATGCAAGTCAGCAGCGGCCCCTCCTTCCCCATCACGAACTACCTGGCACCAGTGTCTGCTAGCGTCAGCCCCAGCGCTGTCAGCAGTGCCAACGGGACTGTGCTGAAGAGTACAGGCAGTGGCCCTGTCTCCTCCGGAGGCCTCATGCAGCTGCCTACCAGCTTCACCCTCATGCCCGGTGAGTCAAGTCACAAGGGGCAAACTGAGCGTGCCAAGAGTGGGTTTAGGGCTGGCACAAGGAGAACCTCTTTCCCTGCTAGAAGGAGGGTGGGCAGGGGCCAGAGCCTGAGAGAAGCCTCTTATGTCCCACTGGTAGGCACACCCTTCCCCACTGGGACCCCTATTATCCTTGTCAATAAGTTTCAACCATACTCTCTGGCCTTGTCTAGCTAGCCCAGCCCTGTGTCCCCCACTGCCACAGGGACCACAGACATTCCACCACTTCCCTACCTTGAGTGGAGGATAGGTCATGTCCTTGATGGTTCAGTGCTAGCTCCTATGTCAACCAAGGAGGCAGAGGCAAGGCCTGGGGTGGGAGGAGGAGGGAAGGGCATGAGCAGAGGGCAGAAACCCATGGAGACAAGATTCAGGACACAAAGGGCCTCTTTAGTTCCCAGGAAAGATAGCTATGGGAGTTGGGGAGCAGTGTGCCAGACCCTGGGCCTAGGGTTGTTTGTGGGTGCTTGGTGCAGGTGGTGGATGGGTAGGACAGAACATGAGTAAGTCTCTGTGTCTCATAGGTGGGGCAGTGGCCCAGCAGGTCCCAGTGCAGGCCATTCAGGTGCACCAGGCCCCACAGCAAGCGTCTCCCTCTCGCGACAGCAGCACAGACCTCACGCAGACCTCCTCCAGCGGGACAGGTATAGCTCAAAACTCTCACCTCCCTGCCCTGCCTCATTCATGAGGCCTAGCAGCAAAGTGCCCAGCAATATCCCTCCTATAACTAAGGTCTGAGAATTTCTTAATGTGGACATGGAGGCATTTGGCTTAACCCTTATTCTAATCCTTATGGGAAAGTCAGGTGAGGATGGCTGGGTTTGGAATCCTGCCCTGTGGTAGGGCTGTGGATTCCAGGAAGAAATTAGGGAGCATTGAGGCCACACTTCTCTTCATTCAGATGAGAAGCTGGAGGCCCAGAAAGAAGTTACTTGCCCAAAGACACAAGTTTGCTTAATTATCAGGAAAGATTTATAAAGCAGTTTCCTTGTGGGAGGGTATCCTAGGTTCTGAGTAGCTGTAATTCCTCTTGGTGTCTCTAGTCATTTCAGAAATGATGAGACACTTTCAAAATAAAATTAATTTTAGGTTCTTGTTAGTGACAGTCTTGTTACACAAGGTGTGGTCTATGGACAGAAGCCTAGCATCATCTGGGAGCTTGATAGAAATGCAGACTCTTAAGTCTTACCCCAAACCTACTGAATTAGAATCTGCTTTTTAACAAGATCCCAGGTGACCTTATGCATGTTAACGTTTGATGTTTAAAAGATGAGTTTGTTAGCCACATGTTTAGAAAGAGGGAGAAGTGAGAACAAATAAAAATGGGATAATGGAACCCCCTGAAAAGGGAGTATGTGAGTTTCCTTAGAGTGGGTCAGTCATTGTAATCTTTGTTTTTCCCAGGGCCTTAGGGTCTTGGAACAAAGAATTCAGCAGATAGACAACTGAATGGTACAATGTGATAGGATACAATTAAAGGTTGGTGCTCTTGTGTTCAAGAAAAAAATAAGGCTTTTCTTAGTTGATGAAAGGGAGCAGAGGAATGAGTCTTCTCCCACTTCTGACCTGGGAAGTGGCATGAGGGCTCTGGAGTCCTGGAATTCCTGGGAGTGGGATGGGGGCCAGTGCCAACCTCACAGATGTGTGTCTGTGTTTGCCAGTGACATTGCCCGCCACCATCATGACGTCATCCGTGCCCACAACTGTGGGCGGCCACATGATGTACCCTAGTCCCCATGCGGTGATGTATGCACCCACCTCGGGCTTGGCTGATGGCAGCCTCACCGTGCTCAATGCCTTCTCCCAGGCGCCATCCACCATGCAGGTGTCCCACAGCCAGGTCCAGGAACAAGGTGAGTTGTGGGGTGGGGCTGAGAAAAGGAGGACCATTTCCTCCCTTATATACCTACATACTCAAATGGTCCCCCATATATACACCTAGATGTACACATTCACATACACGAACTAGGATGTCCACACATATATCTACACACACACACACACACACACACACACACACACACACACACACGGATGCTTGCACATATATTTTGACACCCATAGCTGTTCACTAGGCTACATGTGCACACTTGAAAACGCATACCTACATGCACACATGGACACGGACACATTTGGACACTCACCTTTGGGCATGTACGTCTGAGACTTACCGGGTCACTTGTGCATTTATCATCACTTCTCCGATAATCTGGAAGTTTCACTTGAGCAGGCGATTTGAGTATCTTTTGTGGTTTCCCACTGCAGGTGGTGTCCCCCAGGTGTTCCTGACGGCACCATCTGGGACAGTGCAGATCCCTGTTTCTGCAGTTCAGCTTCACCAGGTAGGTGGGGGCACCCTTCACCCCATGCCAGCCAGCCAGCCAGCCATTTCTTTATCTTGACCTTGGGGATTCAATTTACCTATTGGTCAAAGCCAAGATCCCTAGTCAGGAGGCCTGTTTTCCTGGTCAGGCCTGTGGTGGACAGGCAGACAAGCAGTGGGAGCTTCCCCTGGCTGGTCCCTCTTCCTTACACATCCTTTTCCCTCCAGATGGCTGTGATAGGGCAGCAGGCTGGGAGCAGCAGCAACCTCACCGAGTTACAGGTGGTGAACCTGGACGCCGCCCACAGCACCAAGAGTGACTGATCCGCCCTGCCGCCCTGGACAGATGGCCCAAGGGATGGCACCACTTATTTATTGTTGCCTTTTCACGTTTTCTTTACACACACGTTGACGGGCCGCAGGAGGGAGGCAGGGAGGAGGAGTGGGCAGCCACGGGACTGAGCCCTCTCACTCCAGCCAAAGAAATGGGCCAGCCTGCCCTCCACCCCGTTCTCCCTCACCCTCCCCTCCTAGCTCCACCTCCCATTTTCTGTTGATGGTGGGGCTGTCCTCCCTCCTCAGACTCCCCTTGCCAGCTTGGCTCCATGTTTGCCATGAGTATTAGCTTATCCAATGGGACCGTGTTCCCCCCTGAGGAAGCAGTTGGGGTCCTCTCCCAGCCTTGCTGACTCTGTGTCAGCCCTGTGTCTGTCACAGGCTGGACAAAAAGAGCCCTACCCCTGCCCCTCAGGGAGCCACCTGGGGAGATGGGGCTTCTTCCCTCACGCTGCCGCCCCGTTGTCTCTGCAGCTCCTGAGAACTGGGCCTGTGCACAGAGCAGGTTTCTGGGGCCATCTGCCCTGCCCTGCCCTGCCTTGCCAATCCCCTTGGGACTCCAGGGACTCCCAGGTTGGAGGGAACCACCAGTGTTCCCTCTCACCCTGTCTTCCTCCCCTCTCCTCCCAGCTGCTTTACTTAAAGTTGATTTTGAACTTTTTATTTGAGGAGACGAAGTGAAAACAAATCTATAAATATATATTTTTAAAATATTTAAACTTTTTTTTATGGCGTTTTTCTCGTCCCCCTCCCTCCCCAAGCTCCCCTTCCCTGGGGAGCCCTGGGGCTCCCCGGAACTGGCTGGGCCTCTGGGGACAGAGCCACCCCATGAGCTCGGGGCCCACCAGTGTGTAGGGGAGATTCTGGGATTGCCCGGTCCTGGGTTGTTTCCAGGAGAAAACCGGGGGAGGGGCCCTCAGGCCATGCCCCAACGGGGTGGGGAGGGTGACCCACAGCCCTGGGTCTCTTTTTCCCCTTTAGGGCTGTTGCAAGGGAGAGGGAAGAGGGAGACCAAATGTGGGGGCGGGGGTGGGAGGGTGTCAGGTAGAGGCAACTGACTTCATTTGTGCCACACACATGGGCATTGCAGCCTTGCGCTCCCCCAGGCCTGCAGCTGCCTGGGGCCCAAGTTGCAGTGAGCAGGGTGGGGTCTGGGAGGGGGTGAGAGGCAGGAATGGGGGGCAGAAGAAACGGGAGCAGCTCTTAGGCTGAGTATAGAGATAGGGGAGCCAGAAATGGGCAGCTCTCCCAGGGAGTGAGCAGCTACTGTAACTTTTTTAAATTAAGACAAAAAGCCTTGAAGAAAATGACTTTATTTTTCTAAGTGTAACCTCAGTATTTATGTAATTTGTACAGGGGCCGTGCCCTACCCCACTCTGCCCGCTACGGGGTAGACCTTGAGGATGGGCCAGCATAGGGGGAGGGTCTTTTACCCTGTGTCAGAGCCTACCTTCAACCCCTATATCCAGAAAGGGAGCTTTTTTTCAGAACAGGGCAGCAGTTGGGGTGGAGTTTTATTAACCCCTGTGACTGCCTTCAGGAAGAACAATCCTGCTTCTGTGATTAGGTGAAGGGGTGGGGGAAGTTTTTGTGCACAGCCTAGTTATCAAGGGGATGATTTGCCGACATGTTTGAGAACCCCTGTAACCTCTAACCCCCATTGCTGTCTTGCCCCAGTTTGGGGTACCAAGATGGAAGTCACCATTCTGGGCTTTCTCCTGGAGATAGCTGGGGTTTATGGGTGACTTACAAGGCTGGGGCATGGCAAATCAGAGGCCAGAGATTGGGGGAGCTTGGGACTCAGGTCTGTAACTGCCCAGCCCCCTTTCTCTGCTCTTGTTTCACTCCACGATCATTCACTCACTCCCCACTCCCCCACCCAGGGAAGGAGACTGATGAATTCCTCCTCTCCTTCTCACGAAAGACAGACCCAGTGAGTGAATCAGGCAAAGTGCTTATAATGTGTGTTGTGTGAGCGTGGCCTTGGGAGAACATGTGTGCGTCAGGGATGAGGTGGCATTTATATGTGCAGCAACCCTTGGTGTTTCCCTTCCTTGGTGGCTCTGGAGTGCGTGTGTGTATGTGCGTGCGCGTGTGCATGTGTGTGTGCCTGAGTGTGTGTGTGCGTGTGTGTGTGTATGAATGTGGAGTGTGTATGTAAGTGGTTTCTACTTCCCCTGGGATGCTGACCCAGGAATAGTGGACATGGTCACAGTCCTATGTACAGAGCTTTCTTTTGTATTAAAAAAATACTCTTTCAATAAATGTATCATTTTTGTGCACAGACAGTGGGGTCTTTGCCTCCGTTTCTCCGTGTAGGGAGGGAGGGAAGAATGAAAAGGAATCAAACTCTAAACGTTGCTCTGAGATGCAAGCCTGGCTGCTTGATGAGAACAAGGGCAAAGCTAAGGGGAGCTTTGGGCTTATAACCCTGCGGCTTAATCTAAGGAACATTTCGGGGAGCTGGAGCCTTTATCTTTGTGCATGGTTTTGTTAGGTGTTTAGGCCAACACACAGATGAGCCATATTAATTTATAGGTAAAGTGACTCAACCAAGCCAAACCACTGCTTAAGGAGTTTGGGTTTGGTAAACTCATGGCCACGTGACCTCGTGAAAACTCAAAGGACAGCTCCGGGCTGAAGGTGTAGGTTTCTGGTGGATGGGGAAGCCGACCCACTGTATGCCAATGCTGCTTCCGAGGTGATGGAGGGAAAGCGCTGCGTACTTCTGCAACGAGGAGCAACGCGACAGCGAGCGCCGCCTCTGACTGCAGCGCGCCCCCAACGCAGCGGCGCGGCCACTACGCATGCTCCACTCGCGCGCCCTTCCGCCACGCTCGACTGTGGGCCGCTGGGGGACCCGTAGAAGCCGGGCCGGGTCCTCCCTCGCGGTGTGACCCGGAAGGGAGCTGCTGAAGAGGCGGGGCCAGGACGGCGGGACCGGCCGCTGGCTCCCAGCGAGGGCCAAGCCGGGCGGTGGGAGGTGAGAGGAGGGTCCTGAGGCGACCCAGTCCCTGCCGCGTTCCCTTCCCGCTCCCAGACGCGGTCTCCGTGGGGTTGACGACGGGAGCCAGGTCTTGCTTTCTGAGATTCTCTCGGTCCTGTCAGCCTCCTCGGACCGCGCCCCCCCATCCTCACCCCGCCTCCTAAAGCCATTCCGCTGCCCTAGTGGCCTCCGCCACCCCATGGTCTGCAAGCTTGGGCCTGACCTTCCTACACGCGTCTACCTGCTGTCTCATCCCCAGGTCCAGACCTGACCCCCACACCTCAGTTTACAGCTTCTGTTCTAGGCCCATGATAGTTCTGCTTCTACCCCCCACTTTAGCCCATCGGTTGTTTTACTTCACCCTGCTTATCGGTTGTCCATCGCTAAGTCACTTCCCTGCCTTGTCCCCCCAACCCCACCCGGCCCCCGCCACACTACTAGGACCCCTGCCCCCATTGAGGTCCACATCCCATGTTTCCCCTCTTCTTCACGCTTTTCTTCTGTCGTCTTCTATCCCCGCCCCCCCATTCCTACTCTTACCACTCCCCACTGTCCCCATTCTGCTTTATATCACACATACCTTTTCCTGATCACCAGCTTAGTCGTCTTCCCACTCCCATTTATCATCTTTTGGCTTAATGACTAAATTTATCTGAGGACTGCCCCTCCCTTCTCCAGCTAAGAATATTAGATTGTGTTTACTGAGCTCTCACGATGTGCTAGCGGCTGCTCTAGGTGCTTTACATACATGATCTTATTTAGTTTTTACCACAGCTTCATGGGGTGGGTATGAATACTGTTACCATGTTGAAGAGAAGGGAACTGAGGTTCAGGGATGAAGCAACTTGTCCAAAAAATAATCACAGAGTACGTGAAAGAGCCAGAATTCGAAGTCACTCTTAATCTGACTCTCCTCTGTACCATATTGCGTCTCTAATATCTTCATCATCTCCTGACCTTATTTCCTACCCTTCAACTCCATGATCACCATCTCCATATTTATGAACCTCACCCTACATACAGCTTAAGTGCCAGGTGGGTCCTGGTCTTTTTTCCTATAATATAATCTGGCCCCTTCAGCCCCTCTCCTGCTCACAATACTCTGATACACTTTCCCATCCAGTCATCTGGATGTGGGTGCCCACTGCCCAGCCTCCGTTGTCTGTTTTCTCTATCTGCTATGGCCCACTCGTTTATATCCACATTCCAGCTTTATGCTGTCATTTTTACTCCCTCTCCTACCCCTCCTGCATCCTGACTATCCACATTTGTTCTGCCCCACTGTCTCCCATGCTGCTGTCCTGTCTGCCCACCCATGTTATCCTTCTAAGTCTTGATCTGTAGCCCTCAGCCATACTGCTCTTCTGCTCAGACTGTCCTGCTTAACTGTCATTCTTTTTGTTACCCTTTTCTTCTTATCCTCTCTTGTAACCTCTTCCATCTCTTAAACCCCTTCGTTTCATCCTGTTGTTGTTTCCACTGCATTCTCCTTCCTTATAAATCCCAAAGTATGTTCACGTTATATATTTCATCCTATGCTTGGCTTTTTCTATTTGGCCTGTAACTTCCACCCTGCACCCAATCTATGTCTCAAGGTTCCACCCCGTCGGTGTAGTCTTTTCCTTTGCCCTCATTACCTTTATCTTTCTCCTTCTGTGTCCCAGGAGGTCAGGATGGTGGGGGAACGGCGCGCTGGGGATGTCATGGTGCCCTTGGGGCCCCAGCTGCAGGCATATCCTGAAGAGCTTATTCGACAGCGGCCTGGGCATGATGGGCATCCTGAATACCTCATCCGATGGAGTGTTCTGAAGTGTGGGGAAGTGGGCAGAGTGGGTGTGGAAGAGGGTAGGACAGAGCACATCCTCATGTGGCTGTCAACCCCCGAAGTCTACGCCAACTGCCCCATGCTGTTAGGTGAGCGGGCTCTATCTAAGGGACCTCAGCATGAACAAGCTGGGGGTTCAGGAAGCTTTTCCTGCGATCCCGGAGGTCTGGATGACACAGCAATGGGAGAGATGGAGGCTGATGTGCGGGCACTGGTGCGCAGAGCTGCCAGGCAGCTGGCAGAAGGTGGGACCTCGAGCCTCACAGCTGCTGTGCTCCACACCATCCATGTGCTCAGTGCCTATGCCAGCATTGGGCCCCTCACTGGGGTCTTCAGGGAGACAGGAGCCCTGGACCTGCTTATGCACATGTTATGCAACCCTGAGCCTCAGATCCGTCGGAGTGCTGGCAAGATGCTGCAGGCTCTGGCAGCCCACGATGCTGGTAAGAGACAGTTAGGGGAAGAAGGAAAGTACTGGAGAAATTGGGGCCAGGAGGAGTAAAAACAGAAAGAGGAGGGATTGCCCAACTCTGTAAGAACTCCTAGTTCTTGAATTGCTGAATACCAATTCAATGCAAAAAAAAAAAAAAAAGGAGTATAAATTAATAAACTATTACAGGTATATAAATAGGAAAAAATAATAGTACCTGGCTTATCTGTCCATTCTCAGTGCAGTGGCAGAGAAGAGACTAGGGTAGGTTTATATTTTTAAGTGGTGGGTTGAAATTTGTTGATTGTGAAATCAGTTTGGTGGGTTACAACCAGCACTTTTTAATGTAGAATAACTAGTAGGTAGCACTTGGCAAGATAAGTTATGTAGCATTAAATATATGTTTCAGTTGTACGTATGTGTATTTATATCAGGTTACCAAGTAAAATGTATATACCTTCCTGGGAGAGTCTCAGTTGCAAAGAAGTTTGAAAGCCCCTGGGGTAGGAGATAGATAGCTTAGGAAAGGCAGGGGAAGTATTGGGGATTGAGAAGATACAGACTGGGTATGGATTACAGGGAGTCGGGCTCACGTCCTTCTGTCACTGAGCCAGCAAGATGGCATCGAGCAGCA